ATGCTACAAAGAGCAGAACAGGTTATTGAAAGAACAAACTACAGAGACAGACAATAGACCAAGTATGTGCAAGCGTGCAGATCTTTGTCTTGAGTAACATCAGACACTCACAAAACTCACTGTTTCTTCTGTGAACCTCCTGCTGCTGGATATGATGTTCTTCGTGGCGCTGCAACATTTGAAGTAGACAAACGAGTCCGAGAGTGTATAACACTACTTGCAGACACTAATTTATTCGCAAAGTATGGATGGTATGGTTGCCTTAGAACCCAAATAGCACAGTAAGTGTTTGGTGTCACTATACAATCGAGCTAGAACAACGAGGACATTGATAACAGGATAGCAGGATAACTGCGACAGTTTGCGACTGACAAAAGAGTATATAACACTCGATTTAAGGAACGATTGCTCGCTCAGTTTCCAGATTTACAAGCCGTTAAGGACAGAGATGTTGCCTTTGACAGAGATATTGGCAAAAGGTTGTGAACATGACAGTGACACTGATGCTGTTCACGTGGCAAGAGCTGCACAGATACCACGCAAACAGTTGTTCACTAATATCACATTTTATGGGCAATTAAAAAAAAGATATTAAGAAGACTCTGTCTTACGTTTATTGATTGCTTTAGTAAGCATGCTACTGGAAGGTGGAAGCATAAAAGACGAAGTCATAAATCGTCATCAACACTTACAATATCTCAGTTCCTTACAGTGTCAGACACAGCCGCTCAGCACAAATTAATGCAATTTCTACAAGGCACAACCTAGATAAGGAAACCCCAGTATCTGTTTACATTGGATTGGTGCTTCATGCTCAGACTCGGAAAAGGAAGTTGGTTGACAAGTAACATGATCTTGGCATAAACATCTCTCGTGACAGAGTACTCAGCAGCTTATCTGATTTCGGCAACAGAGTGTGTGACCATTTCGAGAAAGAAAATGTAGTTTACCTTTTGACAATGCAAGGTCAAGTCTTCACAACAATATTGACAAAATTGATCATAATTCAAGCTCGTCAACTGCCAAAGATTCATTTCATGGAACTGGCATATGGTTGTTTCAGCACATGAAGGTTATAATCGTACAAAACTATGAACGGGCATTTCAGTTCCAAGACTGTTAGGCCATTAGCCAAATTACTATGTATACAAATGTCCCTTCCGTTCATCAAACATCAAGGATCAACCATTCCAACATGGAAATTGACAAGCCTGAACAGGAGCAACTATCATAATCACATGCAGGAGGAGTCGAAATGATGATCTGGACTACAGATGAAATTCAACACATGAATGTATCTTGGGCTGCCCAACAGCCCATACAAAGATAGACCCGTGAAGATTCCGAGGTAGAATAGGTCTTCAGCAAACCATGCTTGCCGTAAAAGGTGACTATTCTTGTCGTAAAAGGCGACTAACGGGATCGGGTGGTCAGGCTCGCTGACTTGGTTGAAGCGTGTCATCGATCCCAATTGCGTGGATCGATGCTCATGATATTAATCACTGGGTTGTCTGGTTCTGACTCGATTATTTACAGACCGCCGTCATATAGCTGGAATATTGCTGAGTGCGGCGTAAAACAACAAACCAACCAACCAACCAACCAATACAAAGATCTCAGCATTTTCCGGTCAGCTTGTAGTGAAGAGTGGTGTAGGGAGTTTGAATCCAGGACAATCTTGTATCATTACCAGTCTTTGTATGCTATAGTCAAACAAATACAGTGGACATGGCCTGAGACGTATGCCGTCTTCATATTGAGAGGGGCGGCCGGGTAGCCTAGTGGTTAAAGCGTTCGCTCGTCATGCCGAACACCCGGGTTCGATTCCCGACATGGGTACAATGTGTGAAGCCCATTTCTGGTGTCCCCCGCCGTGATATTGCTGGAATATTGCTAAAAGCGGCGTAAAATCATACTCACTCACTCACTCACTCACTCATATTGAGAAAACCGCCTTACAAACTGCCGGTGACTGAATGAAAGGCAAAATTATGCTTTATATATGCTTATAACGAACTACGGTTATTACGAACTAAGTTTAGAGGTCCCTTTGAGTTAGTTATAACCGCAGTATACTGTACTTACAAGTATCAATATTTATTGAGACATCGATTTCTTTTAGCAACATGTGTTTTTTGGAGTCATTTCTCTCGTTGATACAATAACGGTATGTGACGGGGATCTGGAAAAACACAGAGGTTTGTGTGTAGGGGACCTTAGACAATCACCAAATAAGTAAGGATAAGATATATGGAGGAACAACATAATTACAATTAGGAGCGCCATTTCGGTGTAGGTTATCAAGCAGGTGATATTCTAACGTGTGAGAACATACACCGAAACGTCGCTCATGATTGTAATAAAGAAGTTGTTCATCCATATATCTTATCCTTACTTAGAACTCCAAATTCTAAATGCCCCTAAAAAAAATCACCAAATACATTTTTTTTTTAATGGTAATCAAATCCCTTTTAAATATATTTTACTTACCACTGTCCTAATTTTGATATTTATAATCCATCCATACAAATACTCATATTATTATGCCAACAAAGCAACGTTAACCATCATAATAAAGTACAAGTTATGGAAAAATGGCTTGTCTCATAGATCATAACATGCCAGTGATCGCTGCCGAGACTATGCCATACATTAAGTTTATACCCCAGAGTAAGTGTCTGACAAAGTCAAATCTATAGATATTTTAAAATATTAAAATATATCATTGGTACTCATGTCTAAACTCATCTATGCTGACATACATCTTGTGTACTTTTGACGTGATCCACGAATATCGTCAAATTGAAACAATATGAATGACCTGATCAGGTTCAGCCCTCTCTATAATTACATGATTATTTATATTTAAATTTAAACAAATTACAAAAAGAAAAAAAATGGTCATTTAGAATGTAATATTAACAAATACGCAAGAAGAAGAAAATAAATGTATCGTTTGAATGCAATATTCGTTAACTAGTTCCACTTTTATATGTATCACTATTGTTTTTCCTTCGTATGCGGTTACCTCCCGTACTGAGTTCCTAAACACCTTTGAAAACCCGTGGAAAAAGCGCGGTAGACTATTCAGGGTCTCCCTTTCATTATTGTGACAAATTGTCTAACACGTGGTATGAATTCGGGGGCTTCGTTAACAATAGAACTGAAGACCCAACCTACCGAGGTGTGTTTAACATTTATACCAAAAATGAATTGTCAAAGACAATTGTAGATAAAATTAGTAATGCATAAATTTCCCATAAAATTACCAATAAACCCCCATGTTCCCACAGATCTTGAACAGAACAATCACCAAAAAAAAACACGGCGGCATGAAGAATGAAAATCGGAAGCGCGGGGCGTGTTTTAATAAAGAGTTGAATAAATCTCGTTCAATTTAGACACCTGTGTCTTCTTCGTGGTCAATAATGTTTATTATTTCTCAAAACAACATGCACGCCCAGTATACGATTTATGACCCCTTTTTTGTAAAACGTGAGGGTAAATTATGTATTATGTATGTATGTACTTCGTCATGTATGTTCATGAAGTCAAAAGCATAACGTTGACTGTCGGCTAGGACAACGTTGTACTTCTCCCGCTATTGTCATTGTTATAGACTAACATTGAGCTGGCTAGACTTGCTTTTGTATGCATTTCTAGATTATTATTTTTTCATAAAATAAATATATTCCACGGTCATGGTGCAGGAGTATCATTGTTATATTACATACTTTGTTGCACAGTGGTTTTTGCTTGGTAATATGGATATGATCTCCGTTATCTGCCCCAAGACACACCCTCCCAAGGCCCCTCTGCATAAGGACACTCAAACGAGACGTGTGGATTACTGGCGACCGACGTGCATTCACGGTCATTCTGTCTACTTTGTAACACAGTGGCTTTTGCTTGGTAATATTATCTCCATTAAATGTCTTCAAGATAAGTCATCCCCAGCCCTCTCTGCATAAGGACCAGCACTGAGTCTGTTAATGGAATGTCATTTTGTAACTTGAAACTCCACAATCCTTACTTAGCGATTCTCGGTCCTAGAAAAGAAACTACTTACTATTAAACCGAAGACACATATGCATAGGGGCGGACACTCAAGAATAATTCTGTAAAATAATACCAGGTGGTTGCCATTGTGGTACAGTTATATTCCTTGTGTAGTACTAAATATAAATCATAACAAGAACAAAACTTTTAACAGAAACACAACATTTTAACATGACAAAATGCTAGTGAGTTTTTCAAACTACACAAAAGTTTATGGCTCGCAACGTCTTTATTATACTGTAATAGCGAGGGTTCGTTATAGATCCATATACCCGCATACCCGCGGTGTCAAGCTAAAGTCGTTCAGTCTTGCTTGACAGCGGTATAGAATCTACACCGAAACGTCTCTATTACAGTATAAAAAAAGTTCTTTAAACCTATGTCAGCGTTGTCACCCGTCAACTTCTATCAAACAATAAGTGCCTTTATGTTTTAAAAAATACTAAATATTAAATACTTAATAAAATAAAATGAGACCATGAGATGATTGTATGTTTGGGTGCATTGGTAGTTCTTGATACAGCGACAATATACCGGTATATGTTCTCTGATTGATGTAATTATATTATATAAAATATTCCAGATTTAGTGTTTCTTAGCAAACACAGAAGCAAATTATATATGTATATGACAAAGATCAGTTTCAATACATCTAATATTTATGTGTATCTCGGTTCTAATGGCATTTCATCTGTTAGTCAATTCAGATTGGTAATTATTTCTAGACTATATCTTTCTGTTATAAGAGAGTTTACTTATGTTGTTGTGTAGTTTAGCATAATAACAGGGAGACCATGCACACACGTGTGCGCTTTAGATTCGCACAGTTTCATAAACAACGTGCAGGGCTGATAACATTAACAATCCCGGAACACGCCTCGTGTGAAAATCGATCACGGTGACCCAGTTTTGTCACGTGGGATGACGCACATGCGCAGAGCGCGAAAACGTCGAATAATAAGCAGATGGGAGAGGAAGCCCATTCATAAGTGAGTGTGATCGCCGGGCCGTGTAAATCAAGTCGTGTAAAGAACAACTACTCATCTCCGTTGACTGTAAGCATTATAGTTGCACACCACGCGCTCATCACTCGACTTTATACTCAAAGGAGACGGTTTCTCATATGAAAATCCTCTTTCTTATTTTTTTCTGAAATCTGGATTTTCGCAGGCACAGTTTGAGTGAGTCACGGATCTTTCTACTTTTACCACAGGTCCGCTCTACAAAATGGTCGATGGAAAAGATTCCTTGCCGGCAATTATTCCGAAGGAAAAATGGACACGAAAACTCGACTTTCTTTTGTCCCTTGCCGGGTACAGCGTGGGCCTAGGCAATCTGTGGCGATTCCCCTACCTCTGCAATAGGAACGGGGGCGGTAAGTGCAATTTTCTTTTGTTCTCTTTCAGCGGAAAATTTTGTCAAAGCGACATTTAACGACTCTCTTTCCCTATCTCTATTTCCTTGAAAGGTGTGCAGGAAGTAAAGGCTTACAAACATTTCCTCCTCGCTTAAAGTAAATAAAATAATGTAGTTATTTGAGATGTTTGTTTAGTATTTAAAAGATATTTAATACTAAATCTGAAACACGTGTTTTGTGAATTTCACGGAGAAAGACAAAATTTCGAAATACTTCTATTCATAAATTGTCAGTGATAATAAAATGAATAAGTCGAATTTGTACATACAAAACTAAATCAATGAAAGTTGTTTGTCACATGTTACGAAAAACAAAAGGTATCTGAAAGTTATGAACCAGATATATAAAACCACGTTAAATGGATTGAGGTTTAATAAAAAATATCATTGAACCTGCCGCATACCGAACAATACGGTCTCGAAATAACGTGTATCTCGAAGTGGACGCGCAGGACAGGTTTCATAGATTATTTCTCCATCTCGAATTTTCTCTTCTCTCGAAGTTTCATATGTTCATGTTTTCGAGTTAGCACGACTCCAATGAACGCTGAAACAGCCGAGGAGCATCGACGTGATTTCTCGTTTGATCCGGTTAGTTAAAATATGTCTGAAAACAATGGGTCCGCCTTGCGAGCATTTTGCGACAATTAACATTGATGATCACAATAAGGAAAGACCCGAAGACAACTGAGTCTATCGCCGATGACATAGGAGTGAAGAGAAAGGACGACAATTTGAGGCAGGTCGTATAATACTTGGTATATCTGAAGCAATCTTCCGAGAAAACACGCAGAGACGGGCAACGCTGACTAAAACGTTTCTTATGCAGTGAGGCAGTTTGTTGCCTTGACAACACGAGAAAAGACACATGTCAGTCCATTTGTTTTTCGCAATGATTCTACGCGAAATTTGTGTGGCTAATTGAGCCTAGGGCTTACATTTCGTTTTACAAGTACATGTATTTAATTACCCTCACATGAACAACAACTGTTTTACAGGGCGTGTACGCTCCACTTGAAGTTTGATGAACGTGTTTCAAGGCGGACTTGATATAAGAGGTGCAATATTTCAACAGATGTGCCTACGCTAGACCTCATTAATCTGGAAACCTTTCAGTACGGACGATGATAACGTATTTACTCTGTAGTAATATCGACTCATATCGAAATCACATTAATTCACATGCTTTTGCACTGAATCAACTGTTATGCTTTAAAGAAAAACAGTTTATCTCATAATGAATTTCAAGCGGGTGGGTCCTGATTTACGAGGCTTCACTTGAAATGGGAAGGATACGACCTTATGTACACTCAAACGAGACGTGTGGATTACCGGCGACCGACGTGCATTCACGGTCATTCTGTCGTATACATTGAAGCCTCGATAATCCAGACGACCACAACTGTGGACGATAAGTGTAAGGAAGGTCGATGTATAATTAAAGGTACCCATGATTCGTTACTCCAGACATGCCTTAATCCACACGGTTACGCTGGTGAAGGTGCCGTCCAGATTAATGGGGATCTGTTTATATGATTATTGATAGTTTCAAATCTCGGTTGCTGCAATGGCGTCTTGAATGACCTCGTGTTTTTCCCTGAACAACTTCCTTAAGGACGTCCTGCTCGCAACGAAACAAGTTTTGTACTCGTGTGGTTTTTTTTAACACCGCACTCGGCTATATTACAGCTATATAGCGGTGGTCTGTAAAAAATGTATCTGGAAAAGAAAATCTAGTGAGTCACACGTTCCAGCTTGTTCCAGTAGCATACACAGCAAAATTCCAGCTGTATGACGGCGGTCTGTAAATAATCGGGTCTGTACCAGACAATCCAGTGATTGACATCATGAACATCGATCCACGCAATTGGGATACGATGACATTCATCAACCAAGTCAGCGAGCCTGACCACCCAATCCCTTAATTCGCCTCTAACGACAAGCTTAGTCGCTTTTTACGGCAAGCATGGGTTGCTGAAGACCTATTCTACCCCGGATGTTCATGACAGTCAGCCAATATAAATGTGTGTTTTCAAATGACACTATATATTATGTAATGCATAATGTTGTGAATGCAGTGTATTTTAATGTTAGGTAATTAGTGATGCAGATGAAATCATGCGATCACGCCGAACCCATTTTAACAAAATAAAGCAATTAATCACAAGCATTAACTAACACCTTTTTTTGAAAGTTTTTAACTTGATCTGGCAAAATACTGACAAACAAATGCCGTACGATTTACAGAAAAATACATTTCGAAGTTTTGAGATTAAATGTACAATTGCGTGTAAAATTCGTAACCAGACATGTGGCAATTTAAATTATCATATCTCTATATCAGAATGCGGAGGCCTGATTGTTTCACGTGATCTTGATAAAATACCCTATATCCCGCTTTGGAGGAAAATAAATTTCTGAGCGGGAGAATAAATCCCTTATATCCCGCTGCGAAGAAAAAAGGCCGCACGCTTTTTCCGAGTCAATGAAACTCACGTGACATAACACAGGTTAACCTCAGATCAATCGAACAGCTGTTTTCTATCGATTTTGAATTTTTTAAAAACATGTCGTTAACATAAATTCGTTGTAGTTGTAACACTCGGGATACATATGGTGGTATGCGTCCCTCGTCAGGTTTTATACCAAGAGCCTGGAGGCATACGTGTGACGCTGATACAACTTACAATATTTGCAAACAAATATACTTTGGTTTGAAAAAAAGTTACGGATCTTGAATATTTTGGGGGATATTTTTGTAGTGGAGATCGAGCACACAATTTCATAAAAAAAAAAAAACATCCCCAAAAATATTCATGATCTCTAACTTTTTTTGTTCAGTATATATTAGCGTCAGCCGCAATTATGATAATTTCTTTATGAACTTAGTTTAAAAACCGGTTTGGTTTCCTAGATGTTTAGACAGTGTTGTAGTCCTTATCAACTCTTGCGACCATTAACACCGTAATATTGCTTCAACCGCTCAAAAAGGAGCGTTTGTTGTCGGACCGCTTTGCACCGTTTTAAGAACATTGGATAGTTCCTTGAACCAACACAACCATATTTGCTTACATGGTGACGTGATTGAGGTCGATGATTTACCGTGCAAGGCTAGATTGGGATATTCGTGTTTCCGGCCGGCTCGGAGCACAACAATGGCGGTTTTCTTCTGTGGGGGTCTAACTATTGAAACTCCCCCAAATCATTCGTCTCCAGGTGTAATTTAGATACGCTGTTGTTGCGGAATGTTCTTGAGCGGTACGATTATCCGGTTTATTCTCTGACGCTGATTATGCCAGGTAGATAAGCTTAAATGCTGGGTATACAATTACCCTACTTTCAAGTGTATACTGCTTGTTCCGAGTGATATATATGGGTCATTGGTTTAATTGAACCCCTAATCATCCGGAAACGCCTTAATCCGGGCGATTTCGGATGGAACAGTCGAGTCCGGAGTAACGGGGTAAAATCCGGAAACGCCTTAATCCGGGCGATTTCGGTTTGAACAGTCGAGTCCGGAGTAACGGGGTTAAACTGTAATTTGTTAATACATGTAACTATCGTTGCATTGAAATTAGTTATTGCAGTCAGTTAAATCGGTGTGTCGACTCGGTGTCATTATGAAATCTGATATGCAGCAAGTATGCATCACGTGAACGTATCTAACAACGCCATTGAACGAGATTAACAATGTATTTGACGACTATAACTATCCTCTATGTATTACACAATGTGTGCGCGCTATCACTTGGGTGTGTCGTGATTGATAAGCGGGTTATACCAACGATCTCAATCGGTTGACATGTGCATTTAAGCCTCGAAATGTCAAATACAAGGGTGCGGTTTCCACCCTCTTCCCGAGGCAAGGGAGTTAACTGACTTTAAAAGTCGAGTTTCCACCCTCGCCGAACTAGGCTGGAATTCCTGGGCTCGATCGTAGCGCCACCAATGGCTGTTATGAGTTATGTCCCTTCTAAGCCTATCCTATGGACCAATCACATTTCACCTCTCGTATCACTTGCTTTGCTTCAAACAAAATGGCAGGCACCCAAGTCAAGACGATCTGATCGATAATCAACATCTATATTGTGATTAAAAAAAAATGGTTGTGTCCTGAATAAACATAAAAAAATAAATACAAAATTGTGATTAAAAGGAATCGAGCCTAGATCTCGTTTTTTACTCGCTCTCAGTACCAACTAAGTCACAAACGTGTGTCCCCTTCGGTATCGCGGTGATTAATTGACAGCCTATGGAATTATTACAGCTCGATGGAAGTCTTGAACCCAATATGTTTGCACGCAATACGACTGCCTTCGATTTTTATGGCACTCCAGGTAAAGGGTCGTGACGTGATACTCGACGCCAGAACACACTTCTTCGCCTGTTGATCCGGAAACGCCCGATCAGTTTTATAGCCGCTTTTTTTTGGCCCCTTATATTCTTTAAAAAAATAAGTATGCTTCTGACTGTTTTTCTGTCTGAAAAACAACAACGAAATTGCTGCCCAAAAATTCATTGTTGCAAGGTGTTTTTCTTTAAAAAATGCATTCTCAAACCACGAAGAACAAGTACCACGAACAATGATGAAAGATTTACAATAACGTAAGAAAAGCGCCGATGACTAGGAAACTTGTTCCGAGCATCGCTGCGCATTATGACGTACGCAAGTAGTGTTTGTTTGTTTGTTGTTTAACGCCGCACTCTGCAATATTCCAGCTATACGACGGCGGTCTGTACATAGTTTAGTCGAGTCTGGACCAGACAATCAAGTGATTGACATCATGAGCATCGATCCAAGAAAGTTGGATACGATGACATGCATCAACCAAATCAGCGAGCCTGACCATCTGATCCAGTTAGTCGCCTCTTACGACAAGCTAAGTCCCTTTTTACATAGCTGGAATATTGCTGACTGCGGCGTTAAACAACAAACCTACCAACCAATCAAAACCGCAA